TGGAAACCTAGGATTCATGCAATTGAGAAGGAAGGTGTAACAGCTATGGGGAAAGTCTAGAAGTGTAGATTTAAATGATATAGGAAATGGGTATATGACAGCCACATTTAGAGACATGGATTATTAGTACTACGCTCTAGAAGGAGGGCCATGGATGATACAAAATAGCTACTTGATTGTGCAGACATGAAAGAGGAATTTCAGACCTTGGGCTGAAAAGATCCAAAGAATCGCAATGTGGGTCTGATTACCAGGCCTTCCAGTGGATTACTACGATAGGAAATTCTTCTATCTTTTGGGAAATAAGATTGGCAGAGCTATAAGAGTTGATGAGATGACTCTCACAAAGGCTAGAACAATGTTTGCTAGGATGTGTGTGGAAATCGACTTGGATGCCCCCTTGCTTCCATCATACATCGTGGACGGGAACCATCTAAGGATTGAGTATGAAGGATTGCCGTCGATCTATTTCCTTTATGGAAAATTTGGACATAGTAAGGAGCGGTGCACTATGAAGCATCAGAATGAAAATGAAATGGAAAATAGCCAACACACCTCGCCGGTACAGACAGTACAGGAAGGAGGATCTCTAACCGAGCATTCTGAAAGAGAAGGCACAAATGTCTATGGAGAGTGGTTGATTGCGCAGAAACCAAGAAGGGGTAGAAAAGCAGGAGTAAAAGAAGGGAAAGGTCCAGAGAAGCATATCAGAAGTGGCAGAGGAGAGCCTGAAAAATCAATAAAAGCATCCAGGTTTGCCATACTTGAATTAGAAGAGGGACGTTGTGAAGAAACCAAACGGGAGATTGATAGTAGGAGACCCCTAAGAGATATATCCAATAGGACAACGCAGCTTGAAGAAATCAGTACGGATTGAGGTACAAGTTAAAAAAGGCAAGAAATTAAGAGTCAAAGAAGTGATGTGATGTTGACAGGAAAAGGCAGAGAACAACAGTGCAGAAGAGAAGGAAATAAAAGTAAGAGGAATCAGGAGGAAGGCACGTGCGGCCAGATCCAAATTCAAACTGGGCTGTCCAACGAGAGGGGAGAATTGGGCCAAAGAATGGATTTGGACATGAAGAATAAGGGAGGCATGTACGAGGTGGACCAAGTGAAGAATGGCGGAGAGACAAAAGGGGACAGTGAACGAGCTGGAAAGGGAGCAGGACCGATTGGGAATGGGCTGAAAGAAAACCTTGGGATGGACAGAGAAGATCACATAATGGACCGTTTCCTAGAAGGCCTCCTAGACCAAGTGCCTGATTCAATGGAATTGGAAGAAAGAAAGCCTCCAGACCCAAAACAGAACAATAGCTTGTTGAGCCCCCAGGGAGTGGAGTATCACACGGGAGAAACCCAACATGGAAGCAGTGATAGAGCGCAGTACGTAGAAACCCAGAGATTGGGAAGCGAGAATTAAGGGGTAGAATGCCGCTGACATTCTTAAAACTCCTTGCTTTAATGATCTTGACATGGAATGTAAGAGGATCAGCCATTAGAGAGTTTGGAACTGCTCTGAAAGAATTTAAGCGTAGATTTAAACCCAAAGTAACTGTTTTAGTGGAAACGAGATGTCATGGGGAAAAGGCACAACAAGTAATACGAAATCTAGGATTTTCCTACCATGTAATGGTTGATGCACAAGGAATGTCCGGTGGGATTTGGATACTGTGGGATGAAGATGATATTCTAATCAGAGCGCTTGAGAGTCAGAAACAATTTATACATTGTGAAATCTTTCGCCTGGGGGGGAGGTCCTGGTTCTTCACTGCTATCTATGCAAGCCCAAGAGAAAGTGAAAGGAAAATTCTCTGGGAACAACTACATGTAATAGCTTCATGGTGTCAAGGACCTTGGATGCTTGCGGGAGACTTCAATGATATCATGAATAGCAATGAACAACAAGGAGGAGGATAATTAAATGTTAAAAAGTGCACCAAGTTCTGCTCTAATATAGAAAAATGCAACCTCATAGATTTGGGTTCAGAAGGACCACAGTTTACATGGCGGGGCCCTATGACTACTCATGGCACCCGGCTCTATAAAAGACTAGACAGAGCCATATGCAACACAGAGTGGAGAACAAGATTCGGTGAGGCCTTTGTGAAAGTAGGGCCCAGGTTTCAATCTGACCACCATCCCTTGTTGATCTATCTAACGGCTAATAAAGTTGAAAGAGTGAGAAGACCGTTTCGTTTTGAAGCCATGTGGCTCCAACACGCGGATTTCGGTAATATGTTGAGAGAGAGCTGGAAACAATCACCGAATCTGTGGGAGAGTTTAGAGGGACTGGAAAGTCAGTTGGTTGAATGGAATGTGAACACCTTTGGCCATATCAAAAAGAAGAAAAGAGAATTGTTGGGAAGGATTGCAGGAATACAGAAAAGCTTACACCAGCATTTCAAACCCCACCTCGAAAGTTTAGAGGAAAAATTAAGAGAGGAACTGGAGGAAATCTTAAGAAGAGAGGAGATTATGTGGCACCAGAAGGCTAGGATGAGGTGGCTCAATGATGGGGATAGAAGCACAGCCTATTATCACAGAAAGACAACCATAAGAAGGAGGAAGAATAAAATCACAACCTTGAAGGATGATAAAGGGAATTGGGTAGAAGGGAAGGAGGCTATAGGACACCTCATTAATGAATTCTTGCAGGAGCTGTTCAAGGAAAATGAACAGGCTAAAGCATGGCAAACAACTGTACACACTTGGCCTGAGATATCCCAGGATGAATAGGGAAAAATAAACGAAGGGATAAATGATGTAGATATCAAAGAAGCGATGTTTTCTATCAGAGGTCTCAAAGCACCAGGGGAAGATGGCTATCCGGCTTTATTTTTCCAGAAGAACTGGGAGATAGTGGGGGAAAATGTGTGTGACATGGTGAAGAAAATGTGGAGAGAGCCAGAAAATATCGCAGAAGGGAATAAGACCCTGGTTGTTTTAATTTTGAAAGTAGAAAGACTAGAGAAGGTGAGTCAACTACGACCTATATCACTATGCAACGTGGTTTACAAATGCCTCTCAAAGATAATAGTGAAACGATTGAAAAGCATTATGGCCCAAATAATTTCCCCATTTCAAGTGAGCTTTGTACCAGGGAGGATAATTCATGACAATATTATTGTAGTGAATGAGATGATACACTCAATGAGAAAGAAAAAAAGGGAAAAAAGGCTTTATGGCAATTAAAGTTGATCTAGAAAAAGCCTATGACAGAATTAGTTGGAGTTTCAAGGAGAATGTATTGAAGGAATTAAAAGCTCTAGAAGAAATGATTAAGAGGATCTTGGGGTGTATTACAACTACGAAAACTCAGATCCTATGGCATGGTGAAAAGATGGAAGAATTCAATCCCTCTAGAGGCCTAAGGCAAGGGGATCCAATCTCCCCATATCTCTTTGTCATTGGAATGGAAAAGCTCACACACCTCATTCAAGACAAAGTAAGAGAGAGAAAATGGAGAGGCATGAGAGCTGGCCGTTCAGGGCCCATTATTTCTCATATGATGTTCGCCGATGACTTAGTGCTATTTGCAGAAGCAACCACTAACCAAATTGATGTCATTTTAGATTGTTTGTAGGATTTTGGCTCAATTTCAGGTCACAGGGTAAGCAGTGAAAAAACATAGATCTTCTTCTCTCCGAACGTTCCTAATCACTTGCGAAGAGATATCTGCAGGAGAAGTGGATTTAGACAGGTACAAGATCTGGGATGTTACCTGGGAGTAGATATATCCTTCCCCAGAAACCAAAAAACAAGATATGCCAAAGTGGTGGAAAGAGTCAAAGGCAAGCTGAATAGGTGGAAGGCGGAGAGTTTATCCTTAGCGGGGCGAATTACGCTGGTTAACTCGGTTACCAATACAATAGCTCTTTACACCATGCAACATGATAGATTACCAAAAGGGGTGACCGAGGAAATTGAGAGAATACAAAGAAATTTCATTTAGGGAGATATAGAAGGGAAGAAAAACTAGCACGCAATAGCCTGGACTACCTTATGCAATCCCAAAGACAAGGGTAGAGTTGGAATCAAATCCCTGAATTTAATGAATGATGCGTTGTTGTTGAAATTATTATGGAGAATGAAGTGCAAACCAAATGAGCTCTGGGTCCAAGTTTTAATGGGAAAATACCAGCGACACAGTGAAACAGGAGACCAAATTACTACGCTGACAGGGGACTCAAGATTGTGGAAGGAGCTTGTCAAACTCCAGGACACATTTAAAGCCAACGTGGTTGTAGAAAATACAAATGAGGGAGTAAAGTTACGATAGAAGTTGAACGGGAACAGAATATTCTCCACAGCAAGTACCTACCAGGAATTGAGCAATATTTCCAGGATGCAAGTCGAAGGCAACTGGAAGAAAATATGGAAGCTTAAGGTGCCGAAAAGAATAAGAGTTTTCATGTGGAGAATAAAGCATGAACGAATTTTGACAAGAAGCTTGATGAGTAAATGGGATGACGGATCAACCCAGTGTCAGATTTGCCAAAGTGCAACAGAAGATATACTACATGCACTCAGGGACTGTCCGCACGCCAAAATAATTTGGAAGAAACTGACACCGTGGTGTTGCAGGACCTGGTTAGGCATTACGGACTGGAATCAATGGCTGATGGGAAACCTCAACTATAGAGGAAAGATAGAAGAAGAAAGCGTATGGCCGGAGCTGTTTGCAACGACAGCTTGGCACATTTGGAAATGGTGAAATAGATATTTACACAAACCAAAGTGGGAAATGCCCAGGAATGTCGAGAAATATATTGCAGAGTATCTGGAATCTTATAGGACAAGACAAAACAAAATTTATGTGAGGAGGAAAGGACACGCAAACTCTAATAAGATGGGCACGATCGCATAATGGATGGTGCAAGCTCAATTCAGATGGAGCAGGAACGAGGAAAGGAAGAACTGGGTGTGGAGGACTTATAAGAAGAAGCAATGGGGAATGGTTGGGAGGTTTTTCATGCAATCTAGAAGCACAGGACGCAGCCATGGCAGAAGTGTGGGGAATCATAGAGGGACTTAAGCTTTGCTGGAACTTGGGGTTTAGGAAGGTCCAGGTTGAGACAGATGCCAAGGAGATCATCAACCAGATTAGAGAGAAAGGAGAAATAGAAGGAGACAACGCTTTAACAAACATTCTGCAAGAACTAATAAGGAGAGAATGGCAACTCGAATTTAGTTATACTTACCGAGAAGGAAATCGTTGTGCTGATATGATGGCAAAGATGAGTCTATCCATTCCACAACGTTGGAGCATGTGGGAAGCACCACCAAGCGGCATACTGAGAATCTTGCAGGAAGACGCATAAGGAATTAAAGTACTGAGAGGCTCAAGACCCTAGAAACAGGGTCTCCTTGTATCACAAAAAAAAAACACCTAATAGTAGATAATTCATAAATTTATTAAAAAAATTAATCAGATAGAAAAACAGAAAAATATTTCTTGTAAATTTTAATTTAAATATCACTTTAAAATTTATTATAAAAAGTAATAACAAAAAGTTCAGAAAATAATTTTCCAGGGTTAATCCATTAAAATATGTAATTACATATATTAAATTTTAAAAATGATCATGTTTTAGTACAATTAAAAATAATACGTTAACTATTTTTTCAGGTTACTTAATGGGAAAGGAAGTCTTAAAATGAGTTTTGCATTGAAGGCACTGACCTCCGGATATTCACTTGTTGAAGGATCGGTTTGGATGGTCATATCAAAACTTATGAGAATTAAATTGTTTAGATTTAAAAATTTTAATTAAGTCAATAAAAAATTATTTTTATTTTTAGTTATATATATTAAAATAATTAATTTTAAAAAAAAGAAAGAAATGAGATCTGAATGGTCTTGATCTGATAAATTTGGGATTCTTATCCCTCTTGATCACTACTGAAACTCATTGCTACCTTAAAAGCTTTTGTTCTAGGTACAGCCTACAGGCGTCCTCTAAGTAAAGATAATCTTACACAATCGGCCCGAGCACATACTTCAGTGAAATTCAAATCTTTTTGGTCGCGTTGCTGTTCTGTCCCATGAATACCTCATCTTATTTTTGCTTGACAAAGCCTTTTTTCTGTCTTTGGATCAAAATCTATCTGGCTTTCTAACATATATTGTATTGAAAACCAGATCGGATTGGCTAGGTTGGACAAACCAAGAAATTTTGGCTTAGGAAGACCCAGGCCAACCTGAGAGCAATCTGGTTAACCCAACGAGTTTTGTGGATTAACCTGTTGCTTCTTTTTTTCTGTTTTTTGGTTACTTTAAAGCTATTTTGATGAAAGGCCCTTTCTTTTTTCTTTTTTTTTAATTAGTTGTTAATTGTTACTTAGTGATTGAATGATTGAGGGGTGAAATATTTTTTTTATTATATATATGTTTTTCTCATTAATATAATATCTTTGTGGATATCCATGTATCTATCATTATCTTCCTTATCTCCTATTATCTTCATTATCCACAATTATCTTCTATTATTATGAAATCTGTAAATTCTATTAAAGATGTAAAGTTATGCCTATAAATAGAGGGTTTGTATCATATGTTGAGTACCTCAAATAGAATAAGAAATACTCTCTTGTTTCTCTATTCTCTACTTTTTCTCTACAGTCTACCATTTATTTTATAACATGTTATCATCACGAGACTCTACCAAAGGTACAATGCTTTATCATCTTCATGTTTTATGATTCTCTTATTAATTGCATCTCCCCTCCTTTCTTTTAATTTATTTTCTCCTCACGATTCTCATAAGTCATTATTTTTATACATTTAAGATTCAATTATATATATATATGTAAAGTCCATATATGATGTACTTATTTTTTCCTAATATTATTTTCTTTTTATCATAGTATTATCATGTCGAACCTTACCAAGAATTACTTATCCTAGATACTAGATGCGGAAATTCATTTGAAAGCCAATGGCCTTGAAGATACAATCAAATTGGCAACCAAGCATCTACTCAAGATACAGTTGAAGCCATGATATTTTTACGCCACACCACCACTTACACAAGGCACTAAAAATAGAATATTTGACTATAAAAAACCCTCTTGTTCTTTGAAACAGTTTGAAAGAGAAGTATGATCGCCATAAAATGGTTATTCTCCCAAAACTCACTATGACTGGGTGCACTTGAATTTGCAAGATTTTATATCTGTCTATGAGTGTAACTCTGCAATATTTAGAATTAGTTCTCCACATTTCATGAGTCCAATGTAGCAGCAGCACGATGGAAAAGAGTTCAAGAAATATTCTGAATTAATTTCTTGGCTTCTTGTGGCTGAGCAAAATAATGAACTCTTAATAAAAAATCATGAATCCTATCCAATAGGCTCTACTCCATTCCTAGAGGTGAATGTGGTAGCAAATAAATATATACGAGGCCATAGCTATACATGTGGATGTGGCTGTAGATGTGGTTGTGGCATGGCCCTAGCCGTGAACATAGACGTGGTTGAATCCCCATTTGAAGAGAACAAAGAATAATGAGAATTACAAAAGAAAAAATAGTGGGAATGTTAATCATGTTGAAAATTCATGGTATCGTTGTGGTGGCAATGATCATTAGGAACGTACCCATCGTTTGGTTGACCTTTACCAAGAATTGTTTAAAAATAAAAGTAAGAATAATGACAAAATGCCAAAGATAGAAACAAATTTTGTTGATATAGAGGGCAATTTTGAGTATGACAACATGGATATAACTCATCTAGATATTGCTTATTTCTTTGCTGATCCTAATGGAAGGATTGGCCACCTAATTAGTGATGGAAATATCATTCAAAAATAAATCTATCTTAGCAGAGTTCAATTTCTATGATTAAGTGTGTTCTTTTTAATATCTATGCTTTAGTTTATCTTCCTTGTACCTCAATAAAGTTTTCGCTTTCAATGCTGTTATCTTTTCAAATTAATAAAAGTTATGAGTATTTTCTTTTCATTAATTTTATATATTTTCCCTCCTTTTCTCTTTTTCTTTTGCTTCAATATTTTATCTAAAAAATAATAAATAAATAGTGAGCATTAATCCATAGTTTTAGCTAAAATTTTTCTAAAAAAAAAAGAAGTAGGCAGCCACACCATGGTTGTGCCTTTAAGATAATCCAATCATTACGACCTGATTTTATTATTTTAGCCTTAGTAGAGTTTATTACAAAATTATTATTAAATGATTAATTAGTTACACACATTTGTTCTTTCCAGATTAATATTAAAGGATTATTTTTTTTCTCTTTTCTTTTGCTATGAAGAATGGCTTCTATTGACATCAATCACGAAGATTTATGTCTCGTTGATAGTATAACAATGCACACAGTACTTAGGAACGAGAAATATTTCTATTATTTGGTAATGTAAGAAGCTAATGTTCACGCTATGAAGAGCCATGATATTGTTACCTGGAGGAACAATATTATGCATTGATAATACATTTTACTCAATTAAGTCTAGAAGAAATTTGTTGATTTTCAAGGATATCCATAAGAATGGATACCATATCAAAACAATAACTAAGGAAAATAAAAAATATCTTGCTATTACAAAGTCAATCTCTAGTAAGAAATGCATACTAGAAAGATTGCCTGTATTTTCCTTTGGCTTATACCACACATTTATTAGTACCATTGAAGTTTATGCCATTGTAAACGAGAAGTTTACAAATGATAACAAATTCAATATTTAACATGACCGGTTAGGCCATCCTGGGACAATTATGATACGAAAAATAATTAAAAATTCATGTGGATATTCATTAAAAAGTCAACAAATACCACAATTTAATTTTTTTTCCTCATGTAATTCATGTTTTAAGGGAAAGCTAATTATTCACCCATCATAAGGAACACTAGAAAGTGAGCCTCTCGCTTTTCTAGAACGCATACAAGGATATATTTATAGACCGATACACCCACTGTGTGAACCATTTCAATATTTTATGGTTCTAATTGATGAATCAAAATGATGGTCGTATGTTTGTTTATTATCTTCACGCAACCTAGTGTTTGCAAGATTATTGGCTCAATTAATTAGATTAAAAGCAAATTTTCCTATTAAGAAAATACGTTTTGATAATGCTGGTAAATTTACTTCCTAAGCTTTCAATGATTATTGTATGTCTCTTGAGATTGATGTTAAACATCTCGTGGCTCATGTGCACACACAAAATGGACTTACAGAATTATTGATCAAACACTTACAATTAATTGTGAGACCATTACTTATGAGATCAAATCTCCCAATTTCAAGTTGGGGACATGTAATTTTCCATGCATTAATGTTAATTCGCATTAGGCCAACAAGTTATCTCAAGTCCTTACCTCTATAATCGGTTTTTGGTTAGGAACCCAATAGTTCCCATCTAAAAACCTTTGGATATGTTGTATATGTTACAATTACTCCACCGCAACGTACCAAGATGGGTCCTCAAAGAAGTATAAGAATCTACGTTGGATATGAATCTCCTGCTATAATAAAGTATCTAGAACCATCAATGGGAGATTCGTTCACGGCTTGATTTGCCATTGTCATTTTAATGTGTTAGTTTTCCTAACATTGAGGGAAGAAAATAAGCAGTGGAAAAAGGACATTAATTGGAAAGAATTATCACTATCTCATCTTGTTTCTCGTACAAAACAATGTGAACTAGAAGTTCAAAAGATATTTTATTTACAAAATTTGGCTAATCAATTGCCAGATTCATTTACCGACTCAAAGAGAGTAACAAAGTCACATGTTCTAGCTGTTAATGGTCCTATCAAAATTGATGTCCCTACTGGACAACCAATTGTGAATTATTCTAAAGCATGCACGAAGTGTGGCAGGCCTATCAATTCCAAATATAAAAATCCTTGAAAGAAAAAAGAAACTAAAATTATAGACGACCTAGTTGTCACACCTTACTTATATAATACTTTAGCATTCATTTAGAACCATTCCAAACCACTTTGGATGGTCTTAAGCTTAAAAATTTCAATTTGGACGTTAATTTTCGGAAAATTACTGTTCACTGTCTAGTTTTCATATTACAGGTCCAACTTTAGAAAATCATAACTAATTCTAGAAAAATCGTATGGAGGTGTTCCAAAATTCTACGGAAAGCTCTTTCAATGCTCTTTAAGGGAAAAATATTCAACTGAACTCATCCTCATTGAAAACGTACAGTTTATTAGATTAAGATTACTATTCGTTTGGAAAAATCTGGACTTTCCAGATTCTGCGCCTTAACTTTGAAAGTTCATATCTCTTCGTATACACATCCAAATGAGGTGATTTACCACTCATTTTGAAGCTTGGGATGTGTAC